AGCCCAGCCAGGCGTACCCAGGGGGTCACGGAGCAGCAGCAGAAGGAGGATGCTGCCACTCTGCCCTACGAGCAGGCTCCCCAGCCCTGCCAGCTGCGCCCAGAGGCAGCGACTAGACCTTTAACCAGTTCTTCTCCTTCCCAGAGTTAGTCAGATTATGCTGTGGGGTTTGTGAAACGTGAGAGTAGATTTGCATCTTTTCCCAACTTGCAGTTTTTGGATTATACAGAACAGCAGCTTCTGATCGGCTACCAGTCACGAAAGCCGTATGCAGGGCCAGCTACTAGCTGCATGAACCCTTTGAGAGTCTCTGAAAAGTGTCCTCGAGCAAATCCCATCCCCTGTGGCATCTTGTAATGCCAAGGAGGGGGGACCTTACCAGCACAGGAGGTCGAACCCTGGGACCAGTGTACTGGAGGCGGGTGCAGCTGCCTCGGGGATGTGTATCACCGCTAGTCGTAATGGCAACAGGGGTGGCAAGGCGCTGAGAAGTGAAGCATGCTGATGCCCGACTCTGTAACACTGTCCTGTTTCTTCACAGCAATTCTCAGCGCTGACTGAAGTGCTCTTCCGCTTTCTGACGGAGCCCAAGGAGGTGAGGGAGGCATGTGCACAAGCCCCAGGAGGAGTGTGTGGATGAAGCTCTTTGGCGAGATAAGATCAAGTCGCTGCTCTTTCTCTTGAACAGGTTGAAAGGTTTCTGACTCAGCTCTCAGACTTTGCCACCATGAATAAAATCAGCTTGGGCCCCCTGAAAAACATTGTCAAAAGTATTCTTCTGGTACCTAATGGTAAGTGATACGTTTGCATATGCTTCCCTGAGGCCAAACTGCTGCCATTCCTGCATGCTGCTAAAGTGTGTCAAGGGAACTGGCAGTGCCCTTGGCTTGCACAGTAAGTGCTGAGGGTAGCTCATAAATGGATTAGCATTTAAGAATCAAAAAGTCTCCTGTGAAGCATCCCTGCTTGGCGACTTGGGCTTTGTATCCTTTACACATTTCACAGGCCTAACTAAACTCACTCGAATATCTGTGCATTAAATGCAAGCACAACGCTGTGACAGTGCTTGGCTTAGCTTGTACCTGTGAACCCATTTTGCCAGGCCAGTGTGACCTCATGTTGGTGCCGAGTCTTTTTAGGAACTTACATCCAAGTGGCCCAGTACTGTAATTTCTACAAGGACAAGCTGTTTGAGACAGACAGGACAGTGTGCACACCCCGCTAGAGTGGGCTGGAAACCGGTTCTAGGCCGTGTAGAGAAGACATCTGTCCTTGCTGTCTTGTTTGAGAAAAACGCTTCTATGTCCAGCAGTTTCTCATTCATAAATAGTGGGGAATACCCCAGACTCCAGCACTTTATGAGATTATTCTGATGCTGTGGCTGCCGTTTGACGTGATCGTGCATCAAATGCCTCCAGTGCACATTCACCCCATTGATCCCTCCTGTTATTAATAGCCCCTTGCTATTATCCTTCAGTCCAGGCTTCCCCAGAGCTGTCTTCACAGCGGCGGAGCCGTGTGCAACCCTTTCCTGCATCTGGTCTAAACTTTCATCCTACTGTTTCTGTCCAGGAGTAGCACTGAATAATTTCCTTTCCTGTAGCTGTCTCATGGGTGTTTCACACGGAATCGGCGTTTTCTCCCTTTCTGGTTCTGGCCTGGTGCACTCAGCCTTGTTATTCCTGCTTGCGCGCCCAGGCTCCCATCCCCTTGTAACTTCTCGTAAGCTCGGGGATGCCACAGAGGGCACCAGGACAGATTACAGCAGATAACTTTGCCTCTGTGCTACGCAGACAGAAAGCCACGTGGGACTGGCAGTCTCTTTGAATTTATGAGATTCCTGCTCTCAGCTTCAGAGCACGGAATCCTTGTAAACTTCCATGTGCTGCCTGTGCCCCAGAACAAAGGAGGCAGGCACAGCGGGGGAAAGTGTTATATGCACACGTTCACACCCATAATCCAAAACACAGCAGGTAGGTCAAATTAGTAGCCTGCCAGCCTTAACAGTTCTCCTTTAACAAGCCAGGCTTCTATAGGAGAGAGAGCAGCAACTTCAAAACACCACGGCTGCTGCCGTTTCCATGGATACCTGCGAGGAAATCTCTCCCTCTCCCCTGGCCGTGACTTTTAAAGCACTGGGCATCTGCAAAGGTACCGGCAGGCACAACTGCATTTGGTATCTGGAGGAGCTGTGGTTTGTTTCAAAGCACAGGCCAGGAACAGAGGTTCGCTGGCTCTTGCAGAGGTCTCCGGCCCCGCGTTTATTCGACTCGGTAAACGTCGGACTGACTCAGTAAAAAGTGATTTTTCGTCTCTGCTTTGTTTATTCAGGTGCCCTCAAGAGGAATTTGTCTCCTGAACAAGTCAGAGCAGATTTTATTGCTCTAGGTAGGTCACCTGACTTTCACTAAATAAAAGATAATTAATATTTATCATGAATAGTAATCTCATATGGTTTCTCCCACAGGCCTCAGTGAAGAGAAAGCCAGTTACTTTGCAGAACAGGTATTAATATATTTTTGCTTGTTTCTAAGCTAACAAAATGAGTCTTGGAGTGGGAACTTGTAAAACCCTGCTGTGCTACTGAGGTGTGCCAGCACTTTGGGTATTTTCTTCAAAACCAGCTCAGAATTTTGAACTGAAGATCCTCTGATAAGTGATTAGCAGCTCTTTGTCAAATGATGCTTCTGGCCTCTGCCTTGCCAGTTTTGTCATTCCTCCGCTCCTGCATGGCTTTCCTTTGATTGTTTTCCCTTCTTCGCATGCTTTGAGCCCCGGGGTCGTGCAGTTACAGGAAAACATGACTTTCTGTGCAGATACTGTTGCGCTGAACCAGGGTTAAACTAAAACCGAGCGAGTTTTATTTGCAAAAGCGACAGGGTGGATGGAGATCCTAGCAGGACTTGAACATCTTTGAAAGCTCTCCTGACCACACGAGTTTGCTCCTTCGCATGCCTCTTCTTCAGGCTCCTGCTGCCAGCTTGCCTCGCTTCTGACTTCTGTTGAAATTACGGGTAACACAAACAGAGGCCTCTCAGAACTGATTGCTCATGTGTCTTTTGCTCTTGCAGTGGAAGGTGAATTCCCCCACCCTAACACGCCTGGCTGTTGGTCAGACGCTGATGATTAACCAGCTGATAGATATGGAGTGGAAGTTTGGAGGTAATAGAGCTAAACCATAAAGCGAATGGGTTGGGAAAGCCGACAGCAGCTCTCGGCTAAATAACTTTTCATTTCGCAGTTTAGCCAACAGATTGTCTCCCTTCTCTCTGACTCACAGTGACTGCTGGGAGCAGCGAACTGGAAAAAGTGGGAAGTATCTTCTTACAGGTAAATCTCCTACATCAGAGAGTTCAGGTTGTAAGTGCAGTTAAGGAACAAGCTGCGAGCAGGCGTGTGGGAAGTACTGGCTGCGAGAGGGGCTTGAGGAAAGCAGGATGTCGTAGGAACAAGCTCTTGAACAGCGCATCTGCTTCAGCCTTCTGAGCACAGCTGCCAGCAGATAGCAGGCACGCTGCTATTTGTTTCTCTTCTGAAGGCATCGTGTATCACAGACGTGTGGCCCACTCTGAAAAGCTGTTCAAAAAGCTCAATCTAGCAAAGGTCACGCTCTCTTGGGGAGGGAGGGGAAACGTGATCGTTTATAAGGACTTCCAGAGATTCTCCCAGTGCCTAAGGAATCTGTTCCTACAGTGGCACTTCCCAAAAAGCCTGTCAGAGATGTATGTGCTTTGCAGCAGTCCTTGCATCTGAAACCCGCAGCAGACTCCCACACTTCTGTCTTTTCACGGTGCTCAGAACACAGGTCTCCCTGAACTAAACACCTCTGCTTTTTCTCCCCCAAGCTGAAGCTGGTGATTAAAAAAGGGAGCCAAATGGAAAACATCTATATAGGTGAGTTAACAGTTCTGGAAAAGAAGCGAGCACTCGAGTCCATGAAAGCGCAGCCGCAGCTCCGGGTGCTGCTGGAGGTGGAGGGGCTTGGGGTGTGGACCCAGTGGGGTTCACCAGTGCCCCGGCCTCTCCCTGCTGCAGTCACTCGGGAAGTATTTTGGAGGTCTGACTGCCGGGCAGGCTTCACATCTTTGCAGAAGTAAATACAGAGCCGCAGATAGCGGCAAGAGCAGCGTGGCAGATGAAAAAATTACATAATTCCCAAGTGTCGGTGGCTGTTAGGAGAATCTGAGCCCGGAGCTCCGCGCAGCCCAGCTGGCTGCCGAGCATCACGGTGCCTGATCCTGCCCAGCTTAGGTGAGCGGGAGTTACTCTCCGGTAGCACCAGAACAGCCTTTCCAACGTCAGAAGGGTAACCTGAAATCTAAGACTTGATGCCTCTTTCTTTTTTTTCCCCACAGAGTTAACTTTGCCCCAGTTCTACAGTTTTCTGCATGAAATGGAACGGGTCAAAACCAGCCTGGAAAGCTTCAGCTGAAACCACAAGGGCCTGAACCGATGTCTGCCCAGGATGTTTAATTTCTCCTTGTGGGCCGGCAGATCTGCTCTTCCCAGCTGGCCCAACCACCCTGATAAGAGAAGACCAGGCTGCACAACAGGCAGTGGTGTCACGGCCCAGAACAACTCATCAATCCTTCAGAACCTGAAACTTTGCCAAGTGTTTTGGAACAACCACAAGTCCGCTCATCTCCCTTTTTTTTTTTTTATACTACTATGAGAAATTGTGGTCAGAAATACATGGATACTTGTATTAAAATAGCAAAGAAATAAAATCATTCCCATCCCACTCCACCTGTATCAGAACTTGATTTTGTGAGCAAAAGACAAACAGAAGCAAAACTCGGAAGAATTAAGCAGAGAGGATGAGGGAGGCAAGGAGGGCATGTCACCAGGTGAATCACTTGGTGCTTGCTCCCGAGCCTCTCGCTTCTCTCACATGGAGAAATGGATGGATTGCATCCTTCCCAATCATACCTCATTATAGCAAAGGTATCTCAGTTGCAGATGATTTTAAATCTTAAGCAAACAAACATCCACCTCCATGCACAGCAGGGAAAACATCTCAAGGGGGACTGGGTAAATGTATTCGTGTGTGCTGAGCTCTGGCAAGTGGCTTTTCCATTGGCAACGCGCGTGGCATCCCCTTTCCTGGTGGGGACAGCCCAAACCCCGTGAAGCACCATTAGCTCGTCTCTTGGATTGCCCAGCAGCGAGGGCGAGCAGTTCATGAGGAGGCAGAGGGGTGCCCCCGACCCCACCTGAGGGCAGCGTTATGTTCATCAAGGTTACTCGTCTGTCCGGACCATTTAATCGCCTGGTGCCTCTCGGCAGCCTGAGCTTGCTGCAGCCTCCTCCCACGGCCCAAAGCTACCTCCTCCAGCCCCAGGATTTCCCAAGACACCTTCGTGTCCCTGACACACTCAGCCATCACAGCGGAGGGAATAAATGGCAGCACTGAGAAGACACCAGTGAGATCCTCTCTGTGTCCAGCCACACCTGCAGTAATTCCTGGTCAGGGGGCATCGTGCTGGGCTGCTGTGGGACGGGCAGCACTGCAGCTCCCTGTGCCAGCATCTGCTCCCGGTTAACGCCAAGCACAGAGGGACAATTCCTGCCAGGACAGCATCACAAAGCTCCCTGCAAGTCGGGGCTCTACCTGGAGGTTTTCAGCGTGTGGAACCCCCAGCATTTCTCTGCATTTGGGAACCGGTAACGGGTACAGCCTGAACCGTGTGTTTGGGCAACAGCTCAGGGGATCCTGCTGACAAATCTGGGGACAGTACTGGCGTCTTTATTTTCCTGTGTATCAAGCCATTCACATTTCAAGCTTTGTCACATGATTACAGTAAAAAAATAATTTAAAATAGAAATCCTCTGAAATAACACCCTGCAGAATACCCCACCTCCTTTTGGGCGGCAGGAAATGCTATTTCAGGGAGGAAGAACGGGTCTGAAGGGCTGCTTTCTCAAGACAAAAGGAATGTTTTCACTTTACAGGTTTCTGCTGCCTGCTCCTATTACTTCTCCTGGCCCTCCTGGTGCCAGGGCAGCACCGCTCAACCCTCCCCAGGCTGGGGAGTGCAGCGACGCTGGAGAAGATGCCAGGCTCAG